GTTTTACTTTTTTTTTCTTTATTATTTTTTTACTTTTTTATCACTTTTTTTTCCTAATTTTTCCTTTACTATATATTTTTTTAATTTTATTATTTTTAACTTTTTATCACTTTTAGAAAAATGTATTTTAATTATTATTTCTCATTATGTTTTACTTATTTTTTTATTATTTAACTTTTTGCTTTTTATAAATTTTTATTTTATTATTATTATTTTAACTTTATTGCTATCACACAGGGGCTAAATGTAGAAAAAAAAACTACCTGCTCGGCGACTGTCCTGCTCCTCTACTCTCTGCTGCCCCAAGGCCAGGCCCAGTGGCCTTGTGGGAAATCCGGCCCTGCCCACATCAGGCTCCATTTTTGTAATCAAAATTCTGCTTTAATTACTGTATATACGCACTATGAGCAAGGATATAAAAAATACAAGTAAACACAGTCAACGAAACCCCAAGTTTTAACATTATTTCAATTTTAGGAGTAATTTTCCAAGCAACGTTCATTAAAGTGCTACCTGGCAATCCTGTCATGAAGGTCCTCGATCAGGCACTTCCTGCTGTACAACAATATTTATTTAATTCATTATTTAAGAATGAATTATTTGTCCTTCTTTCCCGCCATGGTATTAGTGTGTTTATAATTAAAATTAAGCTTTAACGTGGTAATTTTTTAAACAATTTATATTCAATATTTTTTACATCTGCAGCTTCCCAAAACATAATTCCTAGTGATCCTGCCAAAAAAACATGCCAATGATTAATGCACCATCCTGCTGTTGTTACCTTCAGAAAGCCTACCCTGAAAAATGACATTTGAGCTGTCATTGAAGTGCCTGAAAAGAGACTGAAAGGGATCAGCAGCACAGAGATGCAAAAAAGGTGAAAACAGTATTTTTGAAATAAAAAATGTATGGCAATTGTTTATGATACACAGTATTTTTTTATTGCAAATAATTGCATACTTTTAGGGTTCACATCTAGGGTATCCAAAGTAGATAACACTGTTTGGGTACCCTAAGGGTTTGCCCAGAAAGCAAGCAATTGAGCTTCAAGTTTGAAAATGACTTGCTAAACTATTGCTAGACTTGCCAAGCTTCACAATTTTGTTGCACAATTACAGCAAGTCTGCATTGCAAGTCTCCAGATCAACGTGCTTTACAAAAGTGCTGTATGTACACTTGCAGAGGTCTTGCTAAGACCTGCAGGACTCTTGCTGTAGACTTACCAGGCAAATTTTCTACAAATTCTAAAAGTGTCACCTAGAACTTGTGCTGCGAGTGTTCTGCAAGTCTACAACTTGCCAGGAATGTGTGCAGCAAGTTAAAAAGAATTACAATTTAACCCTGACACAGGGTTTGTGGCAAGTTATCCTTGCTATCTGGGTGTTTGACCCTCCCCAACATCTGCTTTTTTGGAGGTTCTGTATTTCCAGAATTATATATATATATTTATATATAGAGGTGAAACTCGAATAATTAGAATATCGTGCAAAAGTTAATTTATTTCACTAATGCAACTTAAAAGTTGAAACTAATATATGAGATAGACTCATTACATGCAAAGCAAGATAGTTCAAGCCATGATTTGTCATCATTGTGATGATTATGGCTTACAGCTCATGAAAACCCCAAATCCACAATCTCTTGAACTTTTGCACGATATTCTAATTATTCGAGTTTCACCTGTATATATTGTACAGGATGCCAGGAATGGGTCCTGGATGAACGATATATCCCTCCCTTGTTTGTATTAAGGGTTCTCGCCAAGCAGGGTGAGGGGTTCCGGGTCGGACTTGCAAGGGAAACTGCTAGGCATGGGTCCCGGAATCCGGAGGCTCAGAGAGATTTTTGGGTGGGAAAGACCCTTTATCCCTGACTACAGCCAGTTCTGGTAATGAAAGGTTGAACCCACCAGCCAGAGCGTGTGTTAAAAATAAGAAGCCAGTCAGTCTGTGTCTGTGTCTCCCAGCAGTGCCGAGGGAGTATGGAGCCGGCTTCCTTTCCAATCAGGAAGCTGGGAGGTGGATTATGACACTCCTCCCGACTTCCTTATTGGCTAGGAAGCTGGCTTCACGTGTTGCTAACCAGCCTGGCTTCCTAACCAGTGAGGAATCTGGGTGACACGTAATGACCTACCTCCCGGCTTCCCGATTGGTCAGGAATCCAGGCTGCCTGGGAACAAGTAAAGCCGGCTTCCTAGTCAATCAGGAAGCTGGGAGGCGGGCCATGAAGTGCCACCCGGCTTCCTAATTAGCTAGGAAGCCGACTTCACTTGTTGCTAGGCAGCCTGGCTTCCTGAACAAACAGTAATATGGATGGCACCTCAGGACTCGCCGCTTGGTTTCCTGATTGGTCAGGAAGCCAGGCAGCCTCTGAAGCCAGTGTTCTTTCGCTAGAACACCGGCTTCACAGGCAATCAGGAAGTCGGGCGACGGGTCATGATTCTCCACCCGACTTCCTGATAATCAAGGCACAATGCACCGGTACTCGGTACTTGGTATCGGCGAGTACCAAAAAAAAATAATGGTACTCGTACTCGATATCAAAAAAACAGTATCAGTGCATCCCTAATTACAACTTTAGTTTTATTGTGTCTATAAACACGGATCGCATGACAACCTGTATACTATTTATAAATGAAAGACATTTGTCAAGTTACCTTGATGATAATTCTAGATATGTTTCTATGCAACTTCAGTTCCTCAAACAAATCAAGAAACCCGATTGCTTCTAGTCAGCCCAAAACATGGAGAATGGGACATCATTTAAAGAATTCCATATCTTGGCGCTTCCAAATAAATTGGATAAGAGCGCATTCTCTGTTTTCTTTTTCTTGATATACTTCATTAGTGTGGTACTAAATCTAATGTTACTCATGGTAATATATTCAGATGTGCACCTTCACACACCCATGTACCTATTTCTCTGCCATTTGTCCTTTGTTGACATTTGTTACACAACCACTACGATTCCAAAACTTCTGCATATGTTGCTTTCTGGAAATAACACAGTGTCCTTTATACAATGTTTTTCCCAGATGTTCTTTTATTTTTGGGGTGCCTGCATTGAAGTTAACCTTCTCCTAGCCATGGCCTATGACCGTTACATTGCTATATGTAAGCCTTTACGCTACGCCGAGATATTGAATAAAAGACGATGCGTCCTGCTCATGGTGGGCATCTGGGGAATTGCACTTTTAAATTCACTGTTCATAACAGTTTCTGCATCCTTCACACCTTTGTGTTACTCGCCCACTATCAAGCAATTCTACTGTGATTTCAAGGCAGTCATCAAGTTATCTTGCCCTGGGAACTTTTTTCTGTTTGTGATATTTGTGGAAATGATTGTATTTGGATTTTGCTCTTTTGCCTGCAGTTTAGCATCTTACATCAAGGTTGCCAAAGTTATCTTGGCCATGACATCCAAGGACGGAAGGAGGAAAGCTTTCTCCACTTGCTCATCTCACATCATGGTCCTTAGCATTTTCTATGGTACTTCTGTCCTTGTGTACATGATTCCTCCATCTGCCAACTTAGAAGTCTTGGAAAGGTCATGTACTATATTCTACACAGCCGTGACTCCTATGTTGAACCCTCTGCTGTACAGTTTACGGAACAAAGATGTCAAAAGAGCTTTGATGAGGTTATTCAATAAATGTGTTTCATACTTTGAGTACAGATAAAATGTTTGGCAGTTGCTTTTAACTGGTAACCATATAAGGAAGCCTTCACACAAACCTAAAGAACCCTTTACTGCCTGCTGATACATATAGAAAAATACAAAAATGTAACATTAAAATTAATTAAAAAAGCAACCTTTTTAGGGAAACCAGCTCACTTTATTCCTTACAATGCTGCCTAGTTTCAGATTTGCATATGGAACATCCAGGCTCGAAGATTCTATATTGAACTATATGTCAGGACAAAAACATATTCAGTACATTTCTGCAATAAATGCAGAAATTTCTTAACTGAACAAACTGAAGACAGAAGCGGATTGGTTGTCATGGGTAACTGCTCCAGGGTCTGTCTGCTCCAGTTTTGATACATTGTGGGGTGATTAATTTCTGCACATTTTTGTACACTCTTGCTTTTAAAAATGAGCACTACTCCATGCATAGATATCTCTATGGGACCAAAACCACAGAGCATCTGCCTGAAAGTAGCTCCAGCATCTTTTCGTGTGACAGGTATCTTCCTACACACGACACAACACTAATGGGTCTATTCACAAAGCTGCCGAGGGCAGCCGAGTGAATGACCGATCTGAAGTGAAGTGAGCCGAACACTGTTCGGCTATTCACTTCAGGCTGGTACGGCTGAAATCAGCATTCTAACACGATCGATGTCAGAATAGAAAAAAAAAATTAAAAAAAATTTCCCATTGAAAAGCATTGCTAAAACATTACTATTGGCTATTTCAATTTGCAATAGCCAATAGAGTCTATTAACTAAGGCAGCCGAGTGAATGACCGACCTAAAGCGAAGTGAGCCGAACGCTGTTCGGCTATTCACTTCAGGCTGGTACGGCTAATTTCAGCCGTATATCGGCTGAAATCAGCTGTACATCGTGGGCTTTGCGTGGCTTCGGGTCAGCCAAACATGCTCAGCATGTTCGGCCGACCCGAAGTGCAGAAGGAGTTCGACTCAGCCGATCCAACATCTGGATCGGCTAAGCCGAACCTCCGGCAGGCTACTCGCTGCTGTTCGGTCTATTCTTATAGATGCCAAACAGCAGTGAGTGAATAGCCGAATGCCGCTGAGCGGCATTCGGCTCGGCTGTTCTGCTCAGTCCCTCAGAGGGACCGAGCAGAACAGAAAAATAGTTTAAAAAGTAGAAACAAATAAATAGAAAACGATTGTGCGGAGCTAGCAATGACAGCTAGCTCCGCCAGACAGTTTTCTTTTGGCCGGCGGTTCTGCTGCCGTCAAAAATAACAAGAAAAAAAAAACTATCCCGGGCGCTCCGGGAGTCTCCTGCTCCCGGCCGCCAAGGAGAGAAACACTGCTTTTTCTTTTTTTTTCTTTATTCTGACACTGGGCGGGAGCTACGGCTAGATCCTTCAGCTGCTTCGTGAATAGACCCTTAAGGTGTGAATATTTGCCATTGACTTGCATGGAAATGTGTGTTTTGTGCATTTCCACATGACTAGATCCACGCGTAAAAATGCTCAGGTGTGGGCCAGGCCTCAAGCCTTCCCACATACATGCACATACGTACCTAAGCCCATGCGTCAGTTGCACCTATGTACAAAAATGATGATTGCGCCACATATACTGAGAGCAACAATTATAAACAGTTATCTCTAAACTGATGACCTGTAAAGACTTTTAAAGTGTGGCTCACGGTAAATTTTGGGTACCGAAGTTGCAGTTTCACCAGCACATAATTGGCATGTTTGGTATCTACTTACTCAAAATTGAATATTATATTATGTGTATGTGCACTAAAATTAATAAAAATCATATTTGGGTACGATAAATATTGTGTGATATAAAACTTGCAACTGCCACCATTATATTCTCCAGTGTTCAGAAAACATGTCATTTTGGGGGGTGTGGGGGGGGGGCTTAACTGATCTTCAGGCCTAAAATGTGTGTTTTAAGAAAGCAAAAATGGCTCTGGCACAAAAGGGCTAAATGGAGCACCAGTGAAATGTTATATGCATATATATGTGAACTGTCTTACTTTGCGAGGGATTTGTGATTGTGCTCAGTCTGTCTTTTGACGCAGGCACCCCCCACCAGACAGCACAGGTGGTTCAATTACTTTCCATTTCTCCACTGCCATTGAGCAATGCTGCTTGGTCATTGACCCACCACAAATGTACATTTTCATGACTCACATTACTGGCTTTCTTAATTTTTATGGACTTTTAAATAGGCCTGAGTCCTACAAATTGAACATTTTCTCCACAGGAAACTCAGTCTGACACCAGGGCCAGATTGTAAATCAGCTGACCTTCCTTGTGAGTCATTGCAACAAGATCACTGCACAGCAGCTCTGCCTTTCCAGGTCACAATACACTGTCTAGGGGAGGTTGCCACTATGAATACTAATGAATAGGGGAGAGATGCCAGAGAGAGTATTAATTTACACAGACTACTTGCAGAGCACCAAGGTGGCTTTTTCAAAAGGAGCCATGGGGAGATGAAGGGGGCAAAAAAAAGTAAGTTTCTGTGTTCATATACAGCAACTGCATATGTCTACTTAATGTATACTTGGTTTACATTGCTGGCATATTTTTTTTTTTTTACTCTGCATAGGTCGAAATGGGCTTTAAAAACTAATCATGCAAAGTATCGGTAAGAGCAGGTGATGAATACATTGCAAAATATTTTAAAAATAAGGACAAATCACCACTGTATATTTTCTCATGAAGCTGAACTTGTTAGGTGAGGGAATTGTAATTTCCCCTAGGACATAATTAGTTACATTACCTTTGTTTAGATGTTTGAGCTGATAAATAATTGTCCTCATAACTGTATGTATTTATATGTGCTGTTATTTGACACTCCACCATCTGCCGCCCTCCTGTTAAGTCATCTACGTTGTCACAATACAGCGCAGGTCAGATGGACAAACATTAAAATTAAATGAAGAAAAAAGGTTTGTGACCTAAGCCTCAACTAAAGGAACAAGAAATCCAAATACAAATGTTATTTTGTGAAAAACAGCCGTTATGTCCACCATCTAATCATGTATAAGGCAAAATGCTGTTTTTTCTCTATTTTGTTTTTTAATGCCCTGCACATGATTGGGTATTTGAAGTGATTATACTTTTTTTTATGTAACTTTTACTTTGTGATGTGTAGTGATGGGTGAATCTGCCCAGGTTCGTTTCTCTAAGGAGTTTGTGAATCTTGTTCAAAATTAGTTAAACCTGAACGTAGAGGCAAATCCTACTGAGTTCTATTGGGTGAAAATTTTGTTAAATTCTGGCTATTTTGTAGAAAAATAGGCATGCTACTGTCAACAAGGGTTGGGCACTCATATAGGAGACAAGTATCCATGAAAATATATATATATATATATTGACCGTACAGTGCATAAAGGGTATTTTTATGCGGCTTGGGGGCAACAAGGAAAAGGAACAAAACCTTTAAATTACATGATTGGGGGACGTCTTATAGCTCTACATGGTGTTGCAGAATAGTATGATTTTCACAGACAGTCCCAGTGACAGCGTACACTGGTAGAGCATATTTTGCTGTAGAATTGTTTTTCTTTTTAGTTAGCTTGGCGTACATACAACAACTACCACATCTTATTCAGTTCAGTTTGAAAAAATTCTTTTTTTTCAGGTAACTTTAGCAGCGATATGTGCTTTTTCATGAAATTGTAATAGACCCGCTTTGACTGGCAGATAGAAATTGACCAGTAGTTCACCAGTGGCTGTTCTCACTGATGCAAAGCTGTCCTGCTGCTGGCTGCTTCTATCAAGTTCTCATTAGAGTGACATTAAAGTCAAAAATATTTCCCTCCCCCCATTGTTAATTAAAGCACTTACCTTAAATTATGTTTCTTAATCCGATCTTCTTCTTCTTTCCTGTCGTTTTCATCTGTCCCTCCAGCGCTCCCCGGGTCTCCGATCCAGCGCTGACTCCTCTGTCCTTGCTGGCACTTCCTGCCCAACGGTGTCTGCATGCGGGTGCACGCCGTCCATATACTTACCTTGTGTCTCTCCTCGTCTCCCGGCTGAATATCTGAACTGCGCATGCGCCCGTCCCAAGATGCTTTGCGGCCGCCCGAGAATTTTCAGATTTTTAGACGGGAGCGCGCTGCGAAGGCGGGGTAAGTTTAAACCGCTTTTAAAGGGGGTGTTTTTTAATGTTTTTTCATATATCTACTGCTTGCTAGCCTTATATATATGCAAAAACACCGGAGGGTTTAATAACCATTTAACAATTAAGTGACTAAACTCTGGAGTTAAACCTTAAAAATACATTAAAGCACCTTATCTATTAACAACAATACCTCAAAACCTTAGTCTTAATTTATTATGAAACAGTACAGAAAAGGATGAACATACATTGAGCAGACATGCCTGAGCTTGATACATGTGCATCAAACCCAGTTATTCAAGAAAAAAAAATATTTACTTAGTATTTAGATTTTTTGCTGCTGCTTAGTTTCTTTTTTCTTTGGTTTAATATAACTGTACAGCTGTGGAGCATAAATAACATACAACGAGGTCTAGTTTAATAAGATTTAAATATATACATAACATTGCCTGGTTACATGTGCCACTTGCCTACATTATCCAAATGTTTTACATTGTTTCAACTATTAGAAATGCAAATACATAAAAAGTTATTGTATCTGAAGCCTAAATGGAAAATAAATAGTAGCCTTCCCTTCTCTAAACTAACTCTGAGAACTTATAAAGAACATATTCCATAAAAATAAATGACTCATTAAAAATATACTTTAGGGAAACAGTTCAACTTAAACTTCATAACTACTAACTTAGTCCTTTGGGTTTTAGTGATAACTTTGCACAGTGATATCTAGAGACATAGTTTACTTTTTTATTTGACGTGGTTGAGGTTTGAAAGTTTTACAGCCATAATGTGCATATAAAACTACTGAAAAAGTTGTTAAGTTGTTAAAAGTTGTTAAACTGACACTAAACTCAGGAGTTAAATCTTAAAAAAACATTCAAGTACCTTAACTAATAAC